GCCGTTCATCGAGCTCTCACGGAATTTACTGATTTTCAGGATATATGCTCTAAACATGCTCTTCTCTCATTGCCTTTGCCCTCACCCCCCCTACGTCCTCCCTTTTGGATTGCCTCACCGCTTAGCAGTTTTAAGCTTAACTTTGATGCCTCTTTTAATCCGATCTCTAAGTTTTGTGGGGGAGGTTTACTTCTTCGGAATCATTTGGGCCATTCTATCCGGATAGCTACTATTTTTTTTCGCAATGTATGCAGCTCTTCTGTGGCGGAAGGTCTGGTGCTCCGAGAGTCCTTTCAGCTTATTAAGAGTTGGGGTTACAGTAACGTAGTGTTTGAAGGTGATTGTAAACCTGTCATGTCTCTTATTCCCACGGAAGAGGCTCTTGTGGTTATTTTTGAAGATGTTTCTATTCTTCTAGCGTCTTGCTCGGGGGCTTCCCTTGTGTAGACTCCTCGTTTATGTAATGTGGTTGCTCATTTGTTGAGTAGAAAGGCTTTGGAAGCCAATTGTGGTAACTTGGAATGGAGCATATGGCCCAAGTGGTTGTTAAATGCTCTCACTCCCGAATGTTCTCCTTTGGATGGTTAATATAATTGTTGTTTGTTTGGAAAAAAAATAAAATAAAATACCATCAAGGACACATATAAATAGAGGTAGCGGGGTGGGGAATGAGAGAACGACAAGACTCAAAGAGGAATATTATTAAAATCTTAACACCCAACACTTTGTCAATACTCAAATTGTATTTTTATTCAAAAAATTTGAAAGCCAATAATAACATGCACATTCAAAGTTGTGATATTCTTCGATTTAACAAGTTCGAAGCCCAAACCACCAAACAATACCATTTGAGATCAAGTCTCCCCGCCCACAATTGGAAATCAATTTAAACTTTCTTCGTTCTTTAAAGATTTGAAGGAAGCTCATCGCAATTGGTTCAAAATCAAGCTTTGAAGGCCTTATATCAACAAACAAAGATAATTTACTAAAACTCCAACTAATGTCTTAATGAAGTTTTAGTACAACTATAAATAAATTTTTTTTATACCTGATATATTAACTTACCTTAACTTATATGTTATTTAAGTGAAAAATTAAGTATAGCTTCATTAATACTAAGTTAATTACATCCCCGCTTATACTAGTATAAATAGAAGGCCTATGTAGCCTACTAAACACACATTCTCAATACAAGATATATACTCTCTACACTAGTTATTTAGAGCGAAGGAAAAGAGATTTGAAAAAGTGTTTTCAAACTATTGACTTTGAGTGTATGAATTTTATACTTTCAATTTATCGAACGGAGATAAATACACAGGTTCATGATGAGAAGTGCAACCTTCATTAATATACAAATTTTATATTTGAGTTTAGTTGAATCCCGGAGATAGTACTGCCATTTGTCTTCCATTTGCATGTGGGAGATACTTTAACTATCTTCAAAAAGCAATTACGTGTCTCTACGTTTCAATACTTCCCATTTCAACATATTAGTTCCAACACTATCTTCATTTTCTACCCAAATCAAATACTAGTCCAACCAAGTTTGGAAGATTTTTTTTTATAAATTTTTTATAGACGATGGCGGTGTGGGACCTCTTAGAGTACTCCATAATCCACCACTAGGCACATATAATCCTCTCGTTCCACATGGACCAGGCAATTATGAGAAAAATTTCTTGAGAGTGGCCCTAATGGTAGAGACGAACATAAAAAATTAGGTGATGTGGGCGACATTCAACAATAAGAAGATAAAAAATGTTGCGGGGGCAATGGTGGTTTTTTTTTTTTTTTTTGTAATTTTTATAGAGAAAATTTTAAAATACTATAGCTATATAATACCAAAAAAAAAAAAAAAAAAAAAAATCAATTAATGAGGGAATTAATAATGGCCCCATTGACTTTCAAATATGTCCATGCTTATTTAAGGGTATTCAAACTCCCAACCTTCTACATGAGGGAAGTGGTGTGGGGCTACTGGGCAAAGGGGAAGAGGAGAGGAGGGAGAATCAGGACAGACTCAGGAATTTATGTGATGGGTCAATAGAGTGATTTTTTTTTGTAATTTCAAATGGGACAATATGAAAATTTCATGAGTATATGTTGAAGAGTACAATAGGTAGGGAAGGGTGTAGGGGTTGTTTCGTCATGTGATTTTGTTAGGAATAAGGTGGAAGAAGTGTAAAGAGGATTTTTTTTTTTTGTTGGGCGATTAGCGTTTCCCATTTTTTTTATGGAGTAAACAAAGAATAATTTTTGACCAGACCGGTACCTTTTATGATTGTAATCTAATAGTATCTCCTACATTTGAGTGGCGAAAGACAAAAGGATACTTGTTTTTTTTTTTCAATGAAACCAACACTTTACCAACTTCTACGTGGCAACCCAAGTCTCAACTCTCAAGTTATAGGGACCCATTTTTAAACCAAAATATTTCAAACTATTTCATCTCACAAGATGCCTTCCCTTCTTATGAGGAAAAAAAAAAAAAAAAACTTCCATTTCAACAAAATAAACTAAAAATATTTTTTTAAAAAAATAACAAAACAAGAACTCTCAAAAAAGGAAACGATAAAAATAAATAAATAAAAATAAATCTCAAAGAAAGAAACAACTGATATCTCACTAAACATGAACTCTCAAAGAATTTAAAGAACCAACTAAAATTTTAACAAAACAACAACTTATTGGGCATTTGTCACCTAAAGTTAAATTCATTCAAAATCGAGCATATGCCGAAACCCAAAACCCCTAAATTTTAAATTTTATTCCTTCAATTTGAGTTAGTATAATGATAATAGTTTATGAAGATTTTATTGAGAGGGATTTAAATTTCCCATTCAAATACACTCATGCTAAAAAATTCTAGATTCTTCAATTCTTGAATATTATTGTTATTAACAACCAAAAGCCCGCACAAGACAGTTCTAATTGTTCAGGAGTTGGTACAGGAGATCTACACATAGAAAGAAAGTCTTGTGTTCGACTCTCTTTGACTTAATCAATAAGTGTGGCTTGTAGAAGGACTAGTGGTTGTTAGGTTTCCACGTGATCAAATAAAATAAAATAAAAAATTTTCAAAAATCTCAAATCATGGTTCGTTGTATCGTCCAATACACAATTCTATTTTAAGTCCGATACGCGATCCGTATCGACTAATTTACACTAACTTTGTTCGAGTTCGTTACACCGCAATCGATACCACGACAATAACCAATATTGCAAACCATGCCACAAATGCAATCTCGGTCTATTTGAGTTGGTTATGTATTTCCAGCAGCGTAAACGAATATCCACGTACATAATTCACTACCATTTTCCTTTCTGAATACCATACATGCAAATAGAACAGTGCTTTCAAAGTTGCGTACCATCTCGATGCATGATTAATTGGGTAGAAACATGGCCATTATCCATTTGATCTGTATTAATTGTAATTTGTGGGTGTAAGCCTAGATTCATCAAAATTAAAACGGGCTTTCATCTTTTAACCGTTTGAAAATTTCACCACTACGACGTACACGTGCACGAAATAGCTAGCCATTATGTGATAGTAAATTAGTAATTAAAGTTTGATATTATAGATCATTTACGAATGTTGCCAGTGTTAGTGTTTTTATTCCATATTATTATATGATAATTATTTTTATGTAATAAGTCCGTTATTATTCATTCCATTCTTATCACAATTATTTTTATACATGCAAGAGAAGAACATTCTATTATTATAAAAAGGCTTGCGTGCGGTTTACATCTTTATGATATCAATACAGTACGTATAACCCCCATTATTTGTTCAAATATATATACATATATATATATATATGGTGAGGGATGGTAAAGAAACATAAGAAGGGTAATTTTGAAAATAAAGAATTTAAAATGATCATGTGCATAACACATGACTAACTGACTTTCAATTTCTATCCGCATCCGGAAGTGTTTAATTGTACATTTTATCTAGTATGAATATATATAAACAAATTAAACTATAAGGTTGTAATTCTTACATATTTAAAATTATAGAGGTGTTTTTTTTTTGGTAATTAAAAAAAAAAAAAAAGTTATAAAGATGTTTTTCAGACTTTTTCCTTATAAAAATTATCAGTGTTATACCTGTACAAGAACATTATAATATAAAAAAGGTGAAAGCTTCTAGCAATCCTGTACGTAATTGAGTTTTTCTCCCTACTTATCCATTAACCAGAATGTTTGAATTGAAATTAAAGGTATTAAAATGGAATATTTAGTTGACCATTGTGTGAGTCCACTGCATTACTTATTTGATCAGATCAATTTCCATATCATGCCGCGCTAAAGTTTGAACTTTGAATGTATATCTGTCTGAGGGTCGGCATGAAATTTGTCAACCTCACACAGTTCAATTAATAAATCTCATGAAGGAAAATGATATTAGACTGAATAGGAAGTGGAATCAATTATGCTATCTATATAATAAAATAAAAAAATCAATAAATATAATAATTTTCTTTATACAGATACAATACTGAACATAAACATATTAATAGTTCCACTTAATTTTATCTCAATCGGCTCTCCTTAATTAGGATGTATATTAATAATAATAATGAAGATGATCAAAGGACCTGAAAATCACGAATAGCAATGATTTTTATTTTTTTCACAAAGGACCTGAATTCCACGTAAACATTTCTTGCCAATATAAGCATTCATTTTCTTTGTCGATATATGATGATGAAAGAAAGGACCTGAATTCCACGTATAACGAACCTCTTTATTATTATTATTATTATTTTTAAGGGCCTGAATTCCATGTGAAAATTCCTTGCAAATACAAGCAATCGATTTATTGAAAAAAAAAAAAAAATCCTGGAAGTCAATGTCGTAAACCTAGTGCTTCTGGTTTCGCTGAGCTGGCAAGTGAAAGCAGCCCTCATTGACTTTGGCCTGTCCACCGCGGCTTATCACCGCAGAAACTATTCAAATCAACAATATATAAATAGAGGTGGCCTTCCACCACCTCAAACATCATCCTATCTATCTAGCTAGCTCTACCATGGCTTCCTCCATTCAGATTCTCCTTCTCTCTTCTCTCCTATTCATTTCTCTCTCCAATGCTCAAACCTCTTTTCGACCCAAAGCTCTTGTTCTTCCAGTCTCCAAAGATCCTTCCACCCTCCAATACCTGACCAAGATCAATCAAAGAACCCCTCTCGTCCCGGTTAGCCTCGTGGTCGATATCGGTGGCCAATTCTTATGGGTTGACTGCGAAAACAACTATGTTTCCTCCTCCTACCGCCCTGCTCGCTGCGGCTCGGCCCAATGCTCACTTGCCAGAGCCAGTGGCTGTGGGGACTGCTACAACGGACCCAAGCCAGGCTGCAACAACAACACATGCGGTGTCTCTCCGGACAACAGCATCACCGGCACCGCCACCGGTGGTGAGATTGCTGAGGACGTTGTGTCGGTTGCATCAACGGACGGGTCAAACCCCGGTCGGGCAGTGACCGTTTCCAGGTTCATTTTCTCGTGTGCACCAACCTTCCTTCTAGAAGGCCTGGCTAGTGGTGTGATGGGCATGGCAGGACTCGGCCGAACCAGAATCGGATTCCCCTCCCAGTTTGCCTCCGCCTTCAGTTTCAACAGAAAATTCGCCATTTGTCTCACGTCCTCCACATCAGCTAACGGTGTTATATTCTTCGGTAACGGTCCATACAATCTTCTTCCTAACATTGATGCCTCTCAGTCACTCACCTACACGCCACTATTTATCAACCCCGTGAGTACTGCATCGGCCTATTCCCAGGGCGAGCCCTCCGCCGAATATTTCATTGGAGTGAAGTCCATCAAGATTGGCGACACGGTCGTGCAACTCAACACTTCGTTGCTGTCGATTAACAAAGAAGGGTACGGAGGAACAAAGATAAGCTCGGTCAATCCCTACACCGTCATGGAGACCTCCATCTACAAAGCAGTCACTGAGGCCTTTATCAGTCAGGCTGCTGCTAGGAACATCACTAGAGTTGCATCGGTTGCACCATTCGGCGTTTGTTTTAGCTCGGAGAATGTTGGTAGCACTCGAGTTGGGCCGTCTGTGCCCTACATTTATCTGGTTTTGCAGAGTGAGAGCGTGGCGTGGACGATGACCGGTTCAAACTCGATGGTGTATGTGAATGACAATGTGTTGTGTCTTGGATTTGTTGATGGTGGTTCAAACCCTAGGACTTCTATAGTGATTGGAGGGCACCAAATAGAGGACAATCTTCTACAGTTTGATCTGGCAACTTCGAGGCTAGGGTTCAGCTCCACCCTCTTGGGCAGGCAAACTACATGTGCCAACTTCAACTTCACCTCTAGTCCCTAAATCATCTTCTCCACTGCATGAGAAACATATATTACACATATATTTACAGTTTGAATAAGTTGGCTTGAATGTCACGTGAGATAGACCTACACTACATTTGTTTTCTAATTTCTTTTGTTACAAATTCTGATCTCTGTGTATTTTTTTTTTTTTTAAAAGAAAGAATATTATCATTTTCCTAAAAATAGTTATATGGCGCTGGATTGATTGATTTTTGAAAAGTATGTCAAAGTTAATTTGCAGACTCAATATGGATAGATATAATTGTTTTTTTTTTTTTATTTATTCTGCTATCCGCGACTGGGATTTATTGTGAAGAAGAAAGGTATGAAATGATCAATAGACTTGAACTTTAGTTGTTGAATAGTACTAATGATTTGAAATATATATCACATAGTAAATTAACTACATTATGATATGCAAATGAAGTAACTCAATCTTTTGACATCTTACGATTTTTTCTTCTTTGAAATTGTGGACCTTGTGTTCAGGACACGATTGATATTCACACGTGTTACTCTAATCATTCATATTCATCAATTATTCGTTGGTGGCACACATGTATTGTTAAATATGGATTGCTGTCGTTGTCTACCCTCTAGTCCTATCAAGTAAAGTGGTCGTACTCCGAGACCCACCTTATCGATCAAAAAGTTGGGAGGACGGTATTATATTTTCATATTGAAAATATTGAAAAGCTAATAACAATTTTTAAAGTTATGTTCAGCATCTTTAAAATTTAGGGATCAATCAAATTAATAAAATTTTATCAAAATTAAATTATCAGAATAAATAATATGAATTCTCAGTTTTTTTCTTTTTCTTTTTTGGAGCTGAAACATAAAGCATAAAATAGATCAAGGATCAAAATTTTAATTCTGCATCCTATTCCACTCCAAAGTGCTTGGTTTTAAAGATTTAGGAATATAGGATTTTATACCTTGCAAAGCTGTAACATAAAAGAAGTCACCTATATATATGTTCATTTTCAACAAGCGCACTAGTTATGTTGCTGGAGTTATTATAGCTAGAATGCCTTATATAATAAAGGAAAAAGTACTAAAAAACCCTAAACTATTACAGAATCAGCGATTAATTCCTGATTAATTCTTGAACCATTAAAATTGTAACTAACCCCTGAACTATGCTTCCGACCAAGTCACCTACCGAAATACAACAAATCAATAATTTAAGGAATTTCTTTCATAAAATCATAATTGAAAAAAGTTTCCTGTAGTTCAAAGAGTTAGTTTCAAAACCCAATAGTTCAGTAGGTTTGTTTTTACATTTTACCCTCTAATAAATAATGAAGCTTTAGTAAATCCAAGGGTGGCTCAAGGTTAGTCACGGGTCTGGTGACAGATAAAGTGTATTTAAATTTTGAGTGCAAGCAAACTTTATGCCAAAAGTCCAAATTTTACAGGGGGGCCGGGACAAAGATCTAATACCCGATTCCCAAAAAAGAGAGGTAAAAAAAACCTCTAACAGTAACTGATCTATAGGGAAAAAAAAAATTATTTAACTCACATGCATGGCATGATTGTTACATTCCAATATAAACTCAGAATCCCTTAGTTCATTTCTTATAAACATTAATTAGCAGTTTTAAACCCTACTGCCATTGAGCAAGTTAGCATGGGAATACAAAACACACCCGCATACATACATACATATGTATATATGTTATATATATATAGGTGGTACCTAGATATAATAAGCTAGCTAAGCTACCAAAAAATCCTCTCTACAGTATATGGCTTCCTCTATTGAACTCTTCTTTTTCTCCTCTCTCCTATTCAGTACTTGTATTTCTTACGCTCAACCCTCGTTCCAACCAAAAGCCCTTGTTCTTCCAGTCTCCAAAGACACTTCTACCCTCCAATATGTCACCAAGATGAGTCAACGAACCCCTCTCGTCCCAGTAAACCTTGTCATCGATCTCGGAGGCAGATTCTCTTGGGTAGACTGTGAAACCAACTATGTCTCCTCCTCATACCGACCCGCTCGGTGCCGCTCTGCCCAATGCTACTTGGCTGAGTCCAAAGTGTGCGGTGAATGCCACTCAGCTGGTCCACCCAGGCCAGGATGCAGCAACAACACATGCATTCTCTCTCCAGGAAACAACGTCACTCGCACCTCCACCGACTCTGAGGTCGGCCAAGACATCGTGTCCGTCCAATCAACCAACGGCCTCAATCCCGGTCCCACCGTCACAGTGTCCAGATTCATTTTCTCTTGTGCACCGAGCTTCCTCCTAAAAGGCCTAGCTAATGGTGTCAAGGGGATGACAGGACTCGGGCGTTCCAAAATCGATCTCCTCTCTCAGTTTGCTTCGGCCTTTAACTTCAGCAGAAAATTCGCCATTTGTTTAGCTTCCTCTTCAACATCTAACGGTGTTATGTTCTTCGGTGACGGTCCATACAGGTTGGTTCCTAACATTGACGCTTCTCGGTCGCTCACATACACACCACTCTTAGTCAACTCGGTAAGCACGGCCTTGACCTACTTCTTGGGCGAGCCCTCGGTCGAGTATTTTATAGAGGTAAAGTCCATCAAGATGGGCAACAAAGTGGTGCCGTTAAACAAGTCATTGCTGTTGATTGATGAAGAAGGCTACGGAGGAACGAAGATCAGCACCATTGATCCTTACACGGTCATGGAGACTTCGATATACGAAGCATTCACCGAGACATTTATCAGTGAGGCTGCCGCTAGAAACATGACTAGAGTAGCATCTGTAGCACCGTTTAAAGTGTGTTTTAGCTCCAAGAATGTTGTTAGGACTCGAGTTGGGCCGTCTGTGCCGTACATTCATCTGGTTTTGCAGAGTGATAGTGTGGTGTGGACGATCAGTGGTGCAAACTCGATGGTTGGAGTGAGTGAGAATGTGCTGTGCCTTGGATTTGTTGATGGAGGGTTGAACCCGAGGACGTCTATTGTGATCGGAGGGCACCAAGTAGAGGACAACCTTCTACAGTTTGATCTGGAAAAGTCGCGGCTAGGGTTCAGCTCTACCCTCTTGTCCAGGCAAACTACGTGTTCCAACTTCAACTTCACATCTAGCATCGTGGCATAATCTCTCCTCTCTCCAAAGGAGTCCCGTGTTCAAGGTCAAAAATCATATATATTTGGACATGAACCAGTTAATTGCAAAATTTGTTTTCGAGTTACTTATCTTATCAAATACTATGTATTTGTATATTTGGAACTGTTTAATAAAGATGACCATGTTTGTATTGTTATGATTTTAGTATATAACTTTTTTTAATGACATGTTGGCCGGATAAGAATGAATACATAAAAAGACTCCAATTCTCTTGCTGCTCAATTAATACTCGAACGAAGACTTCAATATTTCAGATCTATTCATTTTTTATTTATGTCCACTGTCCTTCCATTTAATTTTATGAAACATTCAGAAATTGGATATATATATATATATATATATATTTTTGGGAAATTAAGAAATTGGATTCCACTCTTTATGAATGGTAGGTGAAAAATGAATGAACATATGTAAGAGGAGGACAGACAAATCTGCAAGAAGAATAGCTTTAGTTTGTTGTCAGTCGTACTGAATTGTCATGTACTGCTACAGCCTTCAGGTCTTTAAAGATGACTGCAACCATGAATGATGAAACTCTAGGGGCTGACCGCAATCATAATTGACAAAAAGTCTTTGTTTAACATTTTTAATTGGAATCGCTTAAAAAAATTAATTTGTGTATCATTATTTATCACGAAGCTATTAAGTCAAAATTTCAAAATTACAACTTAAGAATAATGTGCTCAATTGTTATTTGAACCGAAGGACGGGCTAATTAAATTGAATCTTTCATTGTACTATATAATTGGTATGAAATCTTTTTCATAACATTAGCTTGTCAAATAAATTTATTTATATACCTGTTAATCAGCCCCTTTATTTTATTTATTTTATATTATTATTATTTTATTTATTTATTTATTTATTTATTTTTTGTTATTGGCAAGAAACTCGCAGACCCACTTTGTTCCTTTAAAGATTTAAACTTTCACCATTCATTTTAAAAAATAAAAGAGATATTGGGTCACATTAAAGATTCGATTTTAAAATTAAAATTCTAATTACATGCATAAATCAATATATACGTGCTCTTTAGCCTTATGAGTCTTAACTACTTGCCATTATATTTAAGATGGGCCGGCATGAAGAGAATTCATGATGTTTGTCAGGAATACTTCACCTAAACTGTCGTAGTTGCATCAAATACTCGAATACACGTCAGATATGTGGGTATGGCCATATGGCTCTGAGGAGGCCCCGGATGACATGGGCCAGGTCCGACTCGCAAAACACAACATTCAGTCCGAACAGCTGGGTCAGCCCATAGAAAGACACTGCCATATGGGCCGAACAGAAGGAAGCCCATCAAAGGTGACCAGGGCTTACAGAGGAATAGGCCCAGATCCAGCAATCAGTAAATATCTTGTAAATATCTTGTAAATATCTATAAATAGGAGTTGGAATGAAGAGGGGAATGATCTTTTTGGGGTGGAGGTGTAAGAATTCTAGAGAGAGAAAGAATAGAAGGAGTTTCTTGCATCTTCAATTGGCGCCGTCTGTGGGAAACGCATGGAAGTTTGGTTGATCAATGAGGAATATCGAATGGATTCAAACCAATTCGGTTGATCGAGACTCGATCTTTGGGATTTGAATCCAGATCTGAGCGATTGTGACCTACTCTGGAGGAATTACAATTCTTGAAGCTTTGGCAGGAGTGACTTCAGATCTACGCAACCACGAGTTGTTCGATTGTGGCAGGATCTGACGGATTTAGAGTTCAGACAATTCAGATCTCGTAAACACTGAGCATAATTCGGAGAATTAGAAGCCAGATCTAAAAATTCCTACTCACGAAGCTCGGATCTACTCGCGAACTTGAGATTAATGCCTTTACTCCGCTCGGGAATAATGATAGGTGAAAGCTCCAATCCGATGGAGGCTGTCCAACAAACAAAGCTTGAGGAGTTGATGAACTTGATCGAAGCTCTCCAAAAAGAGAATGCCGAATTGAAAGCTGGACTGCAACATCGGCAAATACCTGCGGTTTCGCATCCACTTCCAGTCGGAGAAGGAGGTGTTCAATCTAATATCGCGCATCAAGGCGAACAGGACGAGAACAATCAGTCGGCTCACCACTGTGATGAAAGGATGATGGACAATTTGCCGCCAAATGTTCGTCGAGTTGAGGATCACGAAGGATCGACTCACGTTGATCCGCAGCGGGAAAGGTTCGACCGAGAGGAAGTGTTGGAGGCTGATCGCCGTCGAATAGCGTCGCCTTGGCAAAGAGAGTTCATAGAGGAACGGTCGTTCGATCCGTCTTACCGGCCCTCCATGGTTACTATCACTCATCACGGTTCGGAGGGCAGAACCGTAACTCACAGAGCTACTGCTGGACTCCAGAGAGAGAATGAAGCTCTCCGATCCGCAGCTCGGACGGTGGATTCACCATTCACCGACGAGATCTTGAATGCCCCGCATCCAAGGAAGTTTGCTATGCCAGTCTTTATTCTGTTCGATGGAACGACCGACCCGATCGATCATGTGTATCATATCCAGTTGAAAATGGCCCTAAATACGGAAAACGACTCTTTAATGTGCAAATGTTTCCCTACAAGCCTGGCCGGACCGGCGCTCAGCTGGTTCAAAAACTTGCCTAGGAGCTCCATTGGTAGTTTCAGAGACCTGTGCGATCGATTCATAAGCCAGTACTATGGGAACAAACGCCCGCCGAAGGACATCTCGAGCCTATTCACGATGAAGCAGCACAAGGATGAACGTCTCCAGGCCTTTCTTACCAGGTTCAATCTCACTAAGAGCATGGTGATCGAATGCCACCCTTCTACGGCAGTTCAAGCCTTCAAGTTAGCCATGACACGAGGAACTCCGTTTCACACCAGTCTGGTAGTGAACACGCCGACTACTATGGATGAACTCAATGAGAGAGCCGATGGCTTTGTGCGCCTAGAAGAAGAGGAGGCAGCTAATGCTCGGACAACGTCGCTTGTGTCGACCGAGGAAAAGTCCAAGGCAAAGATCAGGCAGAAGCAGGCTCAGCCGCAACGTCAGACCTCTTGGAAGGCAGAAAAAAGGTCCAGGGAGGAAGAGTTGATTACTCCGCTGAAGGTCACTCTGGCGAGGCTGTATCAGGAGAACAAAGACAAGTTTCATCCACCACTGCCAATTAGGCAACCCCTCGAACAGAGGGATCAAACTAAACATTGTGCTTTTCATTCTGATTTCGGTCATCAGACTAACGAATGCAGGAACCTGAGGAGGCAAGTGGAGATGTTGATAGCTAGAGGGGAGTTCGCGAGTTATGTTCAAGGCTCGGCGATGGAGCAGAATCGACCGGTGGAACAAATAAAAAGGAGTCATAAACAAAGCTCCCACAATTCGCAACCAGTTCGTATAATCAATGCTATCCATGGTCGACCCGAGCCTAGTGAAGAGTCAGATGAGCTGCTCCGGGTGCGCCTGCGGCAGGCGCAGATGAAGAAAAGGGTCGGCAATGTGACTACTCTACACCAGCAGAGCCCGTCAATGCAGATAAAGTTCGACTGGACAGACCTGCAGCGTGTTCAACTGCCTCATGACGACCCGTTGGTAGTCAGTTTGACAGTGGCAGATTGCCTGGTGCGCAGAGTTCTGATCGACCCTGGGAGCAGTGCGAACGTCATGCCGAGGGACACATTTGACAGGCTCGACATTAAACCAGAGAGGCTCAAGCCCACCGGAAATCCCTTATTAGGGTTCGATGGGAAGAGGGTGGAACCCGTCGGGATGGTGGAAGTGGAGGTTCAAGCTGCAGAACGAGCTCTTATGGAAACTTTTGTGGTTGTGGAAATTCACCCCTCGTATAATCTCCTGATGGGAAGATGATGGATTCACAGAGTTCGAGGTGTACCCTCAACTCTGCATCAGGTCATGAGGTGCCTCGGGCCCGATGGAGATAAAGTAATAGACATTCGGGGGGATCAGGTCGCAGCCAAAGAGTGTTATTCCGTCACACTAAAGCATGCTGGGAAAGGAAAGGCGCCCGTCTGTTCGGCAAGCCCCAGATAGCAATTACAGGAACCTCCGCTCGAGCAGAATAGGGTGGAGGAGTCAGTTGACTTGACCGATGAGCCCCTTCTGGATGTGCAGATCGATCAGTCCAGGCCAGAACGAACTACCAGAGTAGGTATAAGACTGACCAGAGAAGAGCAGCAAGAGCTAGTGGATTTCTTGTCCCACAATGCCGACGTATTTGCATGGAGTCACCTAGACATGCCTGGAATTAGTCCCTCCGTATCCTGTCATTCCCTGAATGTCAATCCCAATTTCAAACCAGTGAAACAGAAGCAGCGAAGATTTGCTCCAGAGCGTAATCAGATCATAGCGGAAGAAGTCGATAGGCTGCTTGACGCGGGATTTATCAGAGAGGTGCACTACCCTGAGTGGTTGTCCAACGTCGTTGTGGTGCAGAAGAAAAATGGGAAATGGCGAGTATGCATTGATTTCACCAATTTGAACAAAGCCTGTCCAAAGGACAGCTTCCCGTTGCCTAAGATTGATCAAATGGTGGATGCCACCACTGGGTATGAGCGTTTAACCTTTCTGGACGCATATTCAGGTTATAATCAGATTCCTATGGACCCCGCAGATGAAGAAAAAACTTCTTTTGTCACCGAGCGAGGAACATACTGCTACAAAGTTATGCCTTTCGGGCTAAAGAATGCGGGAGCAACTTATCAACGACTTGTTAGCAAAGTTTTTAAGAATCAAATGGGTAAGATTGTCGAAGCCTATATTGATGATATGGTGGTAAAGAGTAGGAAAAAGGATGATCATCTGAAGCATCTGCAAGAGGTATTTGATGTACTAAAGCGATATGGGATGAGGCTCAATCCGACCAAGTGCTCGTTCGGTGTGAGTTCCGGACAGTTTCTGGGACACGTGGTCAACCGCAGAGGCATCGAAGTTAGCCCCGCTCAAGCAGAGGCTTTGATTAAGAATGCCGAGCCAAAGACGATCAGAGAGGTGCAAGCCCTAACAGGACGAATAGCTGCATTAAGTCGATTTATTTCAAAATTGTCAGATCACTGCAAACCATTCTTTGACACGATTCGGAGCCATGGAAGGCAGGTCTGGGGGGATGAGCAACGACAAGCATTGACTCATTTGAAGCAATATATGCAGAATCCACCAGTCCTG